TTTCACACCAAAAAGTCAGATACCGATGATCGCAATAGCAGCGGTGAATACCCGTCCAAAGCAATGCCGCCAGCTGACAATGTTACGGTGATCGTAGCGTTGTACTCACAAGGTATATTGCAGTGAAAAATCGCCGAACTGCAATTGTAGAATTTTTTTTTAATTATTGATTTATTAATTTCAACATATTTCGATATTATGCCAACTTTATAAATTTAACCAAAAACTGTATTCCCCGACGTTTATATGAACCGACATTGACATGGGCTCTAAAAACTTATACACAATGATGAACCAGTTACATCCATGGATAACAGTATAAGAGCACAATTTTTAAAACCACAGAAAGTAATTAATTTATTTTTTTATTTTATTTTACTAACATTTTATTTTTATCTCTTATGTATTGTATGTATTTATGTTCCTTACCATACAAAAACCCTCTGAAGGTTTTTTAGTAGTGTAATAAAGTTATTATTATTATTATTATATTCACTGACTGGCTATAACACAAGTTTTTCAATTTTTTTTCCTTTTTATGATGTTCCATTTCAAACTTTATTTGACTTGATACAAAAACATAAAATACAATGCAGTAAAATGATATAAAATTTATCAGATATAAAAAGATCTTGTCTTTAATTAATTGTAGATTGACAATATTTGTTGAGAAAAACTGATTACTATGCAAATAAAAATTATGCAAATTAGATGCATTGTTATGCAAATTGCCGTGATGCTTGACATGAAGTCTGGGGAGAACACTGTAGAGATTTTATAATACGAATTTAAAAATGCACTTCAAAAACAAGGATTGCAGTGATTGAAGATGTAAATTCTTGGGAGGCAACGGTACTGTTGACTTCTCTCTCCGCTGGACACCAACTATTTAAGTTGATTTGCATACAAAGCAGTACTTGCAACATGATAGCTGTAGTGATCTCAATATGAATGGTCTGTTAGACCAGGTGTTATTATTATGTAACAATGGTTCAAGTATATAAAGCCTGGACTTGAATAAACATGTGTCAGTATTATCAGCACTCAGTGTGTGTCGTGTCTCATCTCTTGTATCTCCCTGCCAAATGCTATACGGACGTCTAAAGATATTACTATGGCGACGAGGATTGTGAGCCCAACAGAAACTACTACTTCTCAGTAGAAGACATCAGGCTGTACGAACTTGTTTGCAAAATTTCACTCGTATTACGTTGGACTGGTGTTCATTATGGCAGCACAAGCAGGTTTCATGTTTTCCCAGTTATTTCCGTTTGACGTCCATGGGGACACTAGTACATTAGCACCACGTTGGAAACATTGGTTATCACGCTTTGAAAACAGCTGTGTAGCCTGGAAGATTACTGACCCAGCTAGAGCAGAAAAGAGTTATGCTTTTGGACCGAGGTGGCGACGACTTATTCGAGATTTGCGATACGCTAACCATGCCCGTTGAACCTGAATATAATAACGCTTACAAGAAACTAATTAAAGAACACTGAGTTCGAAATTTATCAATTTCGGCGTGCCACTCAATACGACACTGAAAGCATTGACCAGTTTGTAACTCGTTTACAAAAACTGATAAATAACTGTAGTATTGAAGACGCAGAAGCCAAAGATGTCGAAATTAAACACCAAATCATACAGGGAGGGAAGAATAAGAAGGTTCGCCGTTGTGCTTTGCAAAATGAGATGTCTCTTGACAAGATAATAACCTTGGCCAGGACACTAGAAGTCTCGGAGCGTGAAGCATATGGTAAGTGGTAATCCTGATTCCGTGAAGACATTTTCCTGTCAACTATGAAACTCCACTACCAGCCGGACGACAGCTCGCCCTACTAGAAAACGTCCTCAGAAAGCCTGTAGATCTCCGGACCAAGTACCGACGATGCAACGCTCTTGTTATAAATGTGGTCACGAATATCCACACAAAGGCCCTTGCCCTGCAATGGGTAAGCAATGTAACTTTTGTCATAAAACTGGACATTTAGTTCGTTGTTGTCGCAAGTTAGAAGGTTCAAGAAAGAAAGATTCTAACAATGTGAGTACTAAAATCAAACATATCTGTGCTGACGATTGCTCTAGACAGTGACGAGTATATATTCAATGTTACTAATTTTGACAAATACAATGGAAAACTTCTCTTCACTACGTTGAATGTGGAGAATAAATCCATTGATTTCATGTTAGATTCTGGTGCTTCATGTAATGTACTACATAAGCATGACTATGAATTGATTAATGATAATGTAATTTTAGAACCAACAAAGTTTCTACTTATGGAAAACAAAGTGTAAATGTGTTGGGTATAGTACAAACCAATGTTGACTTGGGAACCTGGAGTGAAATATTGAAGTTTATAGTAGTGGACACTACAGATTCGTCAATTTTGGGCTATCCAACATCCAGTCACCTGGGTTTTATACAAATTAACCCCAATCAATTTGGATGGTTTTCAGAGAAACAAATTAATTCTCATTCAGAACGAATATGCACACAATCACGACGAATAGGGTCACATGTCCACCATGCGACAAAACAAACAAAATCTAACAATACGCGACGTGATACAAACAGTAACGTTAACTTGAATATACCAGATTGTCCCGATTCTGTGAAAGAAATAATTTATAATCATGAAAGTACATTTTGCGGGATGGGTAAATACAACGAAAAGAAAATCAAATTGCATATTGATTCGAAAGTCAGACCCGTAAAACAAGGCCACAGACGCGTTCGATACCATTTGAGAAAAAAGGTCGAAAACGAATTAAAATTATTAGAGGAAGCCGATATTTTGGAGAAGGTGAATGGTCCAACTCCATGGGTAAGTCCCACTGTTGTTGTGCCTAAATCAGGAACTGATAATGTGAGAATATGTGGCGATTACAGGGCCGTAAATTCGGCCATTCAGAGAGAGCGCCATGTAACCCCGACTGTGCAAGAAATTCGCACAAAATTAAATGGTTCTCAAGTATTTAGCAAACTTGACGCGAATAAGCACTATTTGCAATTTGAACTCGATGAAAAATCTAGAAATCTCACTACAATAAGTACCCATGTTGGTTTCAGGTGATATATACGTCTCCCATTTAGCGATATTATTATACACGGTGAAACTCAAAATTTGCATGACCGGGCCCTAGATAAGTGTTTGACTCTGTTGTCCGATAAAGGACTTACATTGGGTTTAAGCAAATGTGTATTTTCAGTTCCACAAATTGTTTTTTTCGGCTTCGTATTTGATAAAAATGGCATGCATTGTGATGAAACGCGTATTCAATCCATTCGTGACATGAAACGCCCAGAAAATGCTTCGGAAGTGAGATCGTTTTTAGGCATGTTGGGTCTCCCAGCTTTGATGGTACCTCACTTTAGTACATTATCCGAACCAATTAGGTCTCTAACCAAAAAGGGTGTTATTTGTTCAAAAACTACCCTCAGTGTCGATGCTAGTCCCGTCGGCATTGGCACAATTTTACGTCAAGGGGATGTGTTAATTAGTTGCGCAAGTCGAGCTCTCTCGTAAACGGGAACTCGCTACATTCAATGCGAAAGGGAAGCCCTAGCGATTTCTTGGGGTTTGGAGCATCACCGTCTGTATCTCGATGGTTCTCCCCAATTTACTATGGAAACTGACCACAAACCGCTCGTGACAATTTTTAATCGTAGAGAGCTACATAAAATGTCAAGCCGCATTGAACGATGGGTAACTAAAGCTCAACGTTTTCATTTTAAAGTAGTATATTGCCCTGGAGCAAAAAACCCCAGCGATTATATATCCTGTCACCCATCCACCGTCATTGAGAACGTCGGATGTAAAGATGACGAGTATGTCGCATTCGTTCATAAACATGCAAGCCCTCACGCCATTACATTGGCGGAAATCCGACTTGCTACACAAAATGACCCCACAATGATGTTTGTTTCTCGATGTTTACAGACGAATATCTGGCATAAAATTCCAAAAGACGTGAACCGAGAATCACTGAAATCGTATCTGGTTGTTACGCATGTCAGATAAACATTGACATGAAGCCGAAAGTACCATTAAAACCTTCTCGCTTGCCTAATTCAACATGGTCTCATTTGGCAACTGATATGTATGGACCATTGCCATCAGGTGAGTATGCAGTGGTTGTAATGGACGAATACTCCAGATTTCCCGAAGTCAAAATAACAACTTCGACGAGCGCAGCCGCGGTCATACCCAAATTAGATGTGATATTTGTAAACGACACAATAAAAGTAACAGGAAAAATAAATTGTACTATGATAGTCATGGAAGAGTGAAGAATATTAAATTGAAACAAGGAGAAAGGGTATTAGTGAAAAATTCCTGACGTACTAAGTTTGAACCCCGGTACAGAAAAGACGTTTTCCAAGTTGAAAATACAAAAGGTAGTATGATAACAGCCAAAACAGTCAAGGAAAACGTGTAACACGTGATAGATCTTACTTTAAATTGTATAAAGGAATAGATAGAAAAGAGATGGATGTAGAAGAGTATGACAAGGATGAGAAGTTAGATAAAATTATGGAAAATATTAACGCTGACACAACACTAAATCGCAACATGCTGAAATCCCATTCATCACTGCACTCAGAATCACCCTCTACCCAGACACAGACAGAAGTACCTGTACTCAGACGGTCCAACAGAATTAGAAAACAGACTGAATTCTTGCGTTATTGACACTGATACTAAAGCTGACTAATAGGATAGCTGTACATAAAATAAAAGATTGATATTATAAATAAACAAAAAAAAAAAAAAAATTATAAAGCTAATAAAAAAAAAATTTAAAAAAAATATTTAAAAAAGTATAATAAAAATGTATTTAATATTACTATAGATTTGTATTGTATTGTGATGTGTATATCGCTTAATTTTGTGAACATTTGTATGTATATATCGCTTTATTGTATGGAACTTTGTATGTATTTATCGCTCAATTTATGTATATATTATAGCTTGAATATTCCCCTGACATGATTGTAATAAGTAAGAAAGTCAAATTAATCATGAAATTTAATAAAGTTGGGGAGAGATGTAGTGATCTCAATATGAATGGTCTATTAGACCAGGTGTCATTATTATGTAACAATGGTTCAAGTATATAAAGCCTGCACTTGAATAAACATGCATCAGTATTATAAGCACTCAGTGTGTGTCGTGTCTCATCTCTTGTATCTCCCTGCCAAATGCTATACGGACGTCTCAAAATATTACAATAGCTATTCATAGAAGGGCGTTTTTTTTTACTTTTCAAATAATACAGTAGTCACACAATGAATATAATAAGGCAGTTCATATTTGTCTCGGTGAATCATTAATTTTTGACAGACACCTGTACAAAATACTTGGACAAAAGCCGGCTAAGATTTTCTGTTATCTTGCATGTTTTATGAATCTATTCACGTCTAAATGCAGCACTTTTTTTCTGAAATGAGGCATTTGTTTTCATACTAAAATATCTGAATTACTTTGAATAAAGATGGAAATTATGTCTCTTAAAATAATTAAACAAATTAGGCACCAATGTTTTTGTAATATATTTACATCTATCAAGGATATTCGGTAGACTGCTTTCCCACTGTTGTTTCAACTCCAAAACTTGTTTGTATTCAAAGTTAATTATGACAATGCATATTCATATTGAAACAAACTATGATAAAGGGAATAATATTATATAACAAAGGGCAAGGTCACCAGAGTTCAACTATGTTTTCCCTCTGCTGTTGACCTAGTCGATCATTACTGATTATCTGTCATTCGTCTGCGTCAACTTTACATTTACGATATATGTATATTTTTGAAGATATTTTTGTTAAAAAAATGTTAATTTTGATTTCTTCTTGAAAATATCTAGTTCAATTGCATTAAAATTAACATTTCATACAATGTATGTAGACACCTTAGTCAGATTTGTTCATTTTGTGAGGTACCTTGGATGGATCATTGTCAGATTGATTTGATTTTTCTCTCTCTCAGATTTATTCATTTAGTGTCAAAACCTTTCTTTTTAGTGAATAATCTTGTTACCTTGAAAATGGCTAGACTCATTGATTTGATATTTCTTTCTCAGAGCTATATCAGCTAACATACTGCTTGTTCACTCTCTCACTCTCACTCTCACTCTAATTCATATTACTATTAAACTGATCATCATCATTCTGTCTGTTTTTGTTTCAAAATGTTAGTTTGATTTTCTTATTCAAATCATTTTTCAGAGTTGAGTCATTGCATTCATTGAGTCATTGCATTCATTGAGTCATTGTATCTTCCCAAGTTTGTTCACTTCATCATTTTGTGTTTGGCCATGATGTAAGAATGAAAATAAACTAGTGTTAAATTCTTGATTAAATATAAATATTTTTGATATTTTTTTCATGCTTTCTTTCAATTGTTATTGCAGAATAGATGCTGCACAACATCTACAAAATTGACATCTGCAACACCTCCTCTTTTGTACTGTAATGTGTGAAAATATTTTTCCAATGCATACATTATCCTAATGTATTACATTGTATGTTAACATGATAACTATATTCTCATTGGATTTTTGTACTTGCATTATTACATTATTTCCTAGATATTTCTAAAATTACCGTATCTCCTCATCAAACTTTTACCCCCTATTTTAGACTTTTACTTTAATGCATTATTCCATTGTATTGCTTTTTCAGATTGAAAGTGAAAATAATATTTTAGAAGATGGAACATTGGTAGATCTCTGTGGTGCTACTTTATTGTGGAGATCAGCTACTGGTCTACTTAGAACACCAGTAAGTATAGTGATATTTTGATGTAGATATCAGCTACTGGTCTACTTAGAACACCAGTAAGTGTAGTGATATTTTGATGTAGAAATAATATGGACCCTGATGCATATCTTTTTGTTTTATTGATAAAGTTAAAATGACCGACTGGTGGCCATTTTTTTTTTTGGAATGCAGTTCTAAGGCTATATCTCTTTGACATATCATGATCAGACCAATCATGTTCAAACTCTACATATACATCATGTCACACATGTACATATATATTCATTTTGTTATCCAAGATGGCCAAATTTTAATGTTAAAAATTCATCAAAATTAAGCATTACTCTAATTCTAGATCTGGATTTTGGTCATGCATAAACAGATACACTTGGTATGCTCATTAAATTTTATAGGACATTAATATAAATTTCGTTCGTCAAATGGTGAATGCAGTTTTGAAGCCATATCTCTAACAAACTCTGATGGTTCATGTTCAAACTTTGTATATTTCTTAAACTTGAGAATTCACATATACTATGTAATGCAATTACTTGTTTTTATTTTAGACACAAAAACACTTAGAGCAGTTAAGACAAGACATAAATGCTTCCAGACCACAGTGTCCTGTTGGTTTAATGACATTAGTACTCCCTTCAAGAAGTAGTAGAATGGCAAGGGGAGAGGTAGGTATCTAATTACATTAACATCAGTAACCACATTACATGATTTCTTCATTTCTGTTTAATATCATCAACCCATTACCATGATTTCATCAGTTCTGTTTAATATCAACCCACTACCATGATTCCTTCAGTTCTGTTTAATATCATCAACCCACTACCATGATTCCTTCAGTTCTGTTTAATATCATCAACCCACTTCCATGATTCCTTCAGTTCTGTTTAATATCATCAACCCACTACCATGATTCCTTCAGTTCTGTTTAATATCATCAACCCACTACCATGATTTTATCAGTTCTGTTTAATATCATCAACCCACTACCATGATTTTATCAGTTCTGTTTAATATCAACCCACTACCATGATTTTATCAGTTCTGTTTAATATCATCAACCCACTACCATGATTTCTTCAGTTCTGTTTAATATCATCAACCCACTATCATGATTCCTTCAGTTCTGTTTAATATCATCAATCCACTATCATGATTCCTTCAGTTCTGTTTAATATCATCAACCCACTACCATGATTTCTTCAGTTCTGTTTAATATCATCAACCCACTACCATGATTCCTTCAGTTCTGTTTAATATCATCAATCCACTATCATGATTCCTTCAGTTCTGTTTAATATCATCAACCCACTACCATGATTCCTTCAGTTCTGTTTAATATCATCAACCCACTACCATGATTCCTTCAGTTCTGTTT